TAATCTTAGATTTTTAGTAAAAGTAAGTTAAAATATTATTATTCTTTTTCGTTTTTTATTATGACTAAGAATTATGTGGATTTCGTTTTTTAGATGCTGAATTATTCACTTACATACGAAGTAGTTATGATTCAATACCAAGAAGGAATCGAACAACAGTGCGGAAATAAAACAAGACATATTACATTTAACAATCATTCTACCTAATTCTATTCATGTGGAAAAATATCCTTTTTCAATCTCGCATCATATATACATATTCTCCTAGCTTGATAGTTGATACATATTCTTGAAAATAAGACAAATATTATAGCAAATTTAAAGATAAATTAAATATATATATATATATATATATATATATATATATATATATATATACATATATATATATATATATATATATATTATATATATATATATATATATACATATATATATATACACTCTAAAATAATTGTAATGCACATATTTTATCAGCACGCATGTCAGTTAAATCTAAAAAACAACACAGCTAACTTCTGCTTCATTTGTAAAGTATAACTTAAAAACTTTTGTCGAAGTTTCATAATTTCCGTCTAAAATAAACCTCATTGTAAATTGGTTCTGTTTGTAGGTTTTAATCGTATTATTCTAAATTGAAATGACAGAATTATAATACAAAAAAGTTGAAACAAATAGACACCAGTGTTTGTCTTTGAAATACGTACCGCATGCTGAAATATAAGTGGGTCAACTTACATTGGGCTATATCTCACGATCAAAAGCTGATATCGAAAATTGCTTGAAACCGTTTCTAGGATAGTAAAGGGAAACTAAAATGACATGAAAGAGAACTCACTCCCATCAACCCCCTATGCCCCACTCACCAGAACCAAAAACGTTTATAAATTGCAAACCCCTACTTGTGATACATCATTGAAAGACTATAAAAAATGCTATGCAATAGAGATTCTAATCGTATTTCGTTACTTATATGGACTACTAATTTTTGCCAAAAAGGTTATCTTTCTTCTTTTGGTGCACTTGAAGCTTCGCCGTAAATTATTTTATTCATGATGTCGTGCCTTTTGCGAAAGCGCTGAAACCATCCATCACTTGCTCTGAATGGTATGTCCATACGATTTGCTAATTTTATTGCAGCAGATTTCAATTCGAATGCTCGGACCATGATCCCACTAAAACGTTGTTGGCCATACCATTTTAAGATTGTTTCTTCCATTGCTCCTGAAGTTTCACGAGCCAATTTCATTCATTTTCTGAGATTTCTGTGCTCTCCTACATCACACATTAATGCAAATTTCTTTATTTTTTTGCTTTTATTTTTATGCCCAAAAGTTTGGTGTTTTATACCGTTTATTTATTTAGCGTATGGACTTTCACAGTACGATAAATATACAAATACAATTACAATAATATACACATATATATTATATATATTATTCAAACACTAAAAATAGTAAAAATAGAATGAATAGAATGAATGACACTAAATATTAATGTCCAATTTACATAGCCATTCAATTGCTTCTGGGGAACATTTCGCAAAGTCCTGGAGGTTTCCACGGTAGGCACGATTCAAGCAGTCTGAAACACAATGGCTTATGGTCTGTCTAGATTCTCCGCAATCGCACTGTGGACTTTCTGCACGACCCCACCTGAACAGCGAATCAGCACATTTACCATGTCCGGTACGTATACGATTAAGCCTTGCCCAAATGGACCGGGGCAGATTTGATCCGATGAAACCCTGAGTTGGGGTGGATATCTTAATATAGTCCGATTCTACTGTTGGCATCCATCTTGTTGTCCATTGCCTATGTATATCATAGGAATTACCAATTTTTCGGGCAGATCGTATTGGAGGATTTCTAGATCTCAATCGTTGGTGCTCTTTTGAGATGACTGGGATATCTTGATGTATTGGTAATTGTACGTTGGCTACAATTTTCTGGTACTCTCTCACTAATGCTGCTGTACGGCGTAGATCTGGTGGAGCAATATTGCTCAGAGTATTGTATTTGTAGAGTATTGAGTTTTATACCGTATTGATCACATATATGAGACATAGACGCTCCAGACTCCAACTTTTGTATATTGTCTAGTTTTTGATTGATCGTTAGATTGATTCTTTGCCGTTTGTCCATATTTAAAGGGTAAGATTGCGAAAATTGTAACTTATTTTCTAGCGTATACTAACTGTGTTCATTAACAACTAATAAACAAGCATTTATTTTTCAATATATATATATATATATATATATATATATATATATATATATATATATATATATATATATATATATATATATATATTATATTTAATATAATATATGTATTATATTTAATATAAAATTAATGTTTCTTGGGTTTAGGTTCAATAAAGATATGTTACATGTGGAACTAGATTTTATTTTCCATTGCAATCAATCAACGTTTCGGCAGGGTACCCTTGCCTTTGTCAAGATTCTAAAATGTATATATATATATATATATATATATATATATGTATATATATATATATATATATATATATATATATATATATATATATATAAGGACAAACAGATATTGTGAAATATGTATATATATATATATATATATATATATACATATATATATATATATATATATATATATACATATATATATATATATATAATATATATATATATATATATATATATATATATATATATATATATGACTTACCAAAACGTAAAACGTGACACAGACATTAACGAACTGACATATAAAAATTGGTATCTGCTATCTCATTGTTTACTGTAATTAAGTATATAATTATTTTTATATGGGCGTATCGTTGATGTTTTCGAAAAAGGTAAGGTGGAGATATGTTATGACTTTAAGAGCTTTTTATGATGTTATATTATTATTTGTTTAAATCAGATTGAAATATATTTTATTTAGGTTTTGTGTATCTTTTTTGTCATTTATTGCGTTGGTGTTTCTTTTTATTTCTATTGATTCGTATATCTTCCTTTTCTTTTAGTTTTTTTCTGTTTTTAAAATTCTGATATTTTCAAAATCAAATTTATGCTTCTTCCCGCTTTAATATAACCCCAAACATAATTTATGACGAAAAAGTTGTTTTAAGAAAGGGTCTTTTAAATACTTTACGCATTCGAAGAGATAAAAATTAATAATCTCTATAGGAATAGTCTTCTTGTAACTACAGGCCAGTATTAGAAACATTTAGCATGCCACAGTTTTATGTGAAAAATATGCATGTATTAAACATAAATGTTTATATTTAATATTGTGCTTATTTTTTTACTATTTTAATATGCATTTGCATCTTTAGGCAAATTTAGAAAAAATAGCTGCGTATTTTTGATAAACGTAATGCATATAAATATATCCGCTTATTTTGGTAATATTGTAATAAGTTCTTTTAATATATGATTAGTAAAATAGCTACTGTTATAGGAATATATAAAATAATAATTTCGAAATTTTTGGATATAGACGACTCCTTACAAAACTAAATTGTACTGGTTGATAGTTCAATATTTTAACCATGCGTAAAAGGACAAATATTTCAAAATTGCATACAAAATAGTTACGTTACAAATTATATATGTTTTTTTTTTAAAGCCACTGCCATTATTTGTCATGAAACAACAAGAAATGACAGGAATCACAACTGTGTCTTATGGTCAACAAGGGTAATTCTAACTAGTGTTGCCATAGTTATATAAAATGTTTTCTTATGAAACATAAAAAAATTTATTTTTAATTAGGTATATAACATTTTATCCTTACCTACTTTTAACAGAAAATTACTGCTTTTTACAGAAATAAAAGAAATTTTAAGTAAATAAATATTGCGAGATTCCCAGAGTGATTTATGTATATATTATGTTTAGAGTGTTTAAATAAATCAATACTGTGGGATTCCCAGACAGAATTTTAACCTTTGGTACGAAATATATAAATTTTCATGGAATCAATCTAATAAGATCTGTGATTGTCTATTTGTGTAATGCGCAATAACAAAACGAACATACCCGATATTAATCATTTCATTCATGAAATTTCCTTACGGTTGCATCGCCATGCAGACGATAAATGACAATTTCATATGAAAATAAGGATATATTTTGCTTTAAAGTGTACTATAGATTTGCAATATGTTTGCAAACATCTAAATTTGGCAATTGTGTTTGAGATATTGGTGAGAAATAGCATTTTCAACCTGTTTCTTGTTTGTTCGTCACCAAAGAAAGCTGTAACCGAGTTCAGTGGGTGTGTAGTGTGTACTGATGTATTGAAAGCTTTGCGTTGTGCTTTAATAAAGTCAGTGCCCAAGAATTTCTGATTAAACATAATGGATTAAGAGACAAACTAGTGTGTCAATGCGGCAACGAGTGGCGAATTAAAGCCGAAATTAATTTAAGTGTAATAAACTTGTCCCAAGACAGAAAAATAGGTAAATTGCCAGTAGAGAAAATATTTATGTTGATGGAAACTTTATTATATTTAAAGCCACCTAGGCAAGAATTCGTAAATGGCGAGTTCGAGATGACGATGGCTGACTGGTATTAGTTTTGCATCTGGTTATTAAGATTAAATGCACCTGTTTATTAAGCTAAGTTATTTTCATGAAATTTTTAGATCTTTTAAAGGTTGAACCTGAAAATGTCGAATGTTCATAAAATTTAACTTCTTTCGCATGTACGCCATATTGTTTTGAAATAATTAACAGTAAAATATTCAATTTTTTTTATAATTTAACAGTAAAAATCTGTGATATTGGTTAGGTTTTAGTTACGTTTTTTTATTAACTTATTAATATATACTTTTCTTTGCTTTTTATGTAATTTTTTTCGTTCATAATACTTTTTTATTTTTTCTGTATTTTTTTATTATTTGGGCACTTTTACTAGTGTCCAGCAAAGAAAACATTAAAATTTGAGTTTTCTTCACTTTTTTGGTCAAGTTCACAAAAAATGAGAAAATATAATAACAAAAGTACATACCTTTGAAGCTTGCTTTTGTTCCAAAATATTTTTCCAGGATAATATCGCCATTTTAAAATCAACAACTGTCTTAACTGGCACATGCGCATTAATTACAAATGTAGAATTTTTCTAGAAAAAAAAATATAAATATAATTCTATATAATTAAGTTATGCATAATACGTTGTATGATAATTTTCACTCTAGAGTAAAATCAATTGCTGATAACGAAAATGACCTAAAAAGGCAACTCCACACCTTCAATATCACAGCAAAAAACTTGAGAATATCAGTAGAAAAAAACTAAATGTATAGTGATCAGTAAAGAACCGCGTAGATGCAAACTAGAAATAGACAGCAAAATTGTAGAACAAGTAATAAAATTCAATTATCTAGGAGTAGAGATTACTAGTGACAGGGATATAAGAACAGAGACCACAAGGCAAGCATCAAAAGCGACAAGAGTAAGTGGTTGCCTCCGAGAAACCATATGGAGAAACAAATATCTGACCACGGAAAGTAAAATGAAAGTATACAAGACAACAGTAAGACCAATCCTAACATATGCAGCGGAGACAAGGACCGATACAACAAATCAACAATATCGAAATGAAAGTATTAAGATCAATAGCGGGCATATCATTAAGAGACAGACAAACCAACAGAAGTATACGCGAACAATGCAAAATTCAAAATATTAACAGGTGGATAAAAACAAGAAAAAAAACTGGAACGAACATGTAAACCGAATGGGACCAGATAGATTAGCGAACATCTGTAAAAACAACAAACCGTATAGCACAAGACCCGTTGGAAGTCCGCCAAAGAGGTGGAAAGATAATGTACAGTCAACAACGACTGAAACAGAATAAGAGGCAGACAAACAGGAGTAATCCTAGTCGCACGAAGAAAAAGAAGAGTAAAATTACAACGTTAAATTTTTACTGTAGAGTAAAATTCTAATTTTATAATTTACTTTAGAGCAGGGGTCGGCAACTAATTTTGAGTGGGGTAACATATTTTAAAATAGGTAGGCTTATGGAGCCCCAGGAAAAAAAGATTGGCGAAACTTCATTATATACCTCTATAGAATGAATCAAATTAATACGTTAAATTTAATTTTTGATTTGAATAAACAGGTGTACATTTTTAAAATCAATGTGAAAAATTGTGTTCTTGAGCCAGTTTTTCAAAGGTAAGTTTACGCTGGGAATAGCTAATAGTGTCATCAAGGTAAGCGTCTATCAATCTTGATAGACATTTGTTCTTTAAAAACTTAATTTTTTAAAACGAAGTTTCACAAAGAAATGTGGGAGCCATCGATGGTAGCAAGGTAAATGGCGAATTTGTTGCAGTTTTATATTTCTATGGAACACGTCTACTACAAAATTTTTGGGTGGATGATGCAGTTTTATGCATTTACAACAAAATATCGTCCTGTAAGTCTATAATCTCCATTTAGAGCAAGGACTTAGAAATGGGAAACAAATCTTCCTGCGATTTCCTTTTTAAGACCATCAATGAAATCTAAAAATATTAAAACGTTTATTTCTTATTCAGAATTATTCTTGTGTTTAACTGTTGTTGGAAAGTGGATTAGTTCTTTACTTGAAATGTCTTTTACGAGCTTGCGACGGAACAGCGAAATACTTTGTATCAGATCACATATTAATTTCTTATTTCCTTTCAGCTCGGTATTTAGCCTATTTAAGTGTTGCAAAAAGTCGAAAGCCACAGCCAACATTCTTCTTTGGTTTGCCAGGAACTCCAAATGCTTTATTGCTGCTTGGCTATTTAGGATTTCGAAGAAAGTAGTTATTTCTTGTTTTATTTGCCAAACACGTTTAACCACTTGGCATTTACTTAGCTAACGAACATTGTTGTATTGAAGTAAATCAGCCTGCGCTGAATTACACTTAGATAAAAAACTTTGAACTGTCTGTGCCCAACAGCAGAACGACACCTCATAAAATGAACCAACTTAATCAAGTTGTTCATTATCTCTTTAGAGTGTCACTAAGTTTCGCACATAGCGCTGGCTGGTAAATTATGCAGTGATAAGATGGTAGCCCATCTTTGATTCTCTTTCCAAGCCCCCTTTCTTTGCCGACCATAGTTGGGACCCCCTTAATTGACAGAGATACCATTTTATTGTGACTTAAGTCTGATTTTGTCATAAATTCGTCAAAAGTCTGGAGTAAAAATCATTTCCACGAGTCTGGCCTTTAAATGGCAAGACTGCAGGCAATTGTTCTCTAAATATTTTATTTTAAATATCTTTTGCCGAAGTTCGAGCAAACCCCTTTTAATCGTCTGCGGCCAATATTTCGGTTGTTCTTGTATTGCCTTTCGCAATGGAATACCTTGAATTGTGACAATAACATCCTTTTTAGCTTCAAAAAATGTTGCGGTCACTCCTAGCATACATTCTTTGACTATCTCAGAGTCTGAAAATGATTTCTGGTGTTTATTGAGCGTTCAACAAACCCGCAAAGCTGCATCTGCATATTTTTCTTGCTCACTCATACTTCGAAGTAGTGTGGATGTGCTTTTATTCTAAGAAGCTTGATATTTCTTCTTTAATGTCTCTTTAAATGAGTACTTTTAATAACAGCGCAGTTTTATTGCATATAGGTAAACTTGAACAGCGCTAGGTCTATCAGGAAGCGTAAAAGAATACTGTTCAGTCCATTTAGTCAAAATCTTCGATAAAAATCCCAAGGATCGACAATTACAAGTTAACCAAGCGAACAACACAAAAGACAAATGGCGACCGTCACAACAACACTCACTTGTTCTCCGCTATACTATGTGACTACCACTGGCTGGCTAATGTCGGCGAGGCGGCAGTTTTGCCAACTTTACACGTTGATGCTCAGGTTAGGTGGCGGCGGTGTTGCTAAGTCTACGGTGGAAATCACGTGTAGAAAAAGGCTTTTAACAATTATATTTAAAATTTATGTGATTGAAATAGTAAAATATTTTAGCGGTGCAGCTTTTGACCTTCTACGGTCCGCAGTTGGACCTCGGTCCGCCAGTTGCTGTAGGATAAAATTGTTACGTTAAATTTTTACTCGGTGTGGTACAATTTTACTCTCTCATTCAGAGTATAACACATTGGTAAGTTGATCTATCCTATGCTAAAGAAAGATACGTGCTGCTTTAGTTTCTTTCCTGATTTAAGGAAAGAGCCAGTAGTGGAACAATTTTTTGGAGCTTTACGGCACCTCCACCTATCTTCCTTATCCCTGAGACTCAAAATCATTTGTTGATTATTCTATATATGGTCTTATTTATATTATCTACATAGGTTGCTTTGGGACAAACGATGATTAGTATTTAACCTGCATGTACGTTATTTTTTTGTGTGTGCAAATTCGAAAGAACTTAATAATTTAGTACTTTACTATAAGACCTGCATATTACGATATTTTATCATATAAAGGGTTAGAGAGGCGCCTGAGGGATTATGTGATTAAGCTGGTAATTAACAAATAAACATTTAATAAAGATGTTGTTAGCTATTTTAATTCATAATAGGGTATAAGAAAGGGATTTTTCAAAATATGTCGCTCATGGTAATATGAGAATAAAAGAAGTTTAAAATCTATTAAAATTGATGGTAAATGGTAATATATTGAATTATATTGTTGACATATTTTTTTGTAGATACATTATTCTTCAAACTGGTAATGAAAATGGCTTCATTGAGGGTGCAGAGGCTATTTTTTCGTCTAAATCGGCTTTAATGGACTTCTATGGGGAAATGAATCGAGCAAACTTTTTATCGTGGTTTGAAAATCATTTATTAAAACGTTTGTCTGAACCATCTCTAATAAATTACAATGGATAACGCTCCATACCATAGCATGTGGTTAGAGAAAGCAACAAACATGTCTTCAACCAAGACTATATAAAAGATTAGTTAACTAACGATAAACTGCCTTTTAATGAGACAATGTTGCGCAGTAGGCCTAATGAGAGTTTAGATGTAGACCTCCAAAAAACATTGTTGATGATTTACCAGAACAATATTGCATTAAGTATTACGTTTGCCACTATATCACTGTATTTTCAATGCTACAGAATTAATATGGGGAATTGCTAAAAATTATTATAACCGACATATTGGTAGAAACGGCTATATAAAATATGATGCTTTAAACATGTGGAAAAAAGGTCTGTAAACTGTTACATCCCAGATATGGCAAAATTCTATTAGTCATACAGAAAATGTAATTAAAAAGTGGCATGACCGAGAACATATACTTACTAACTAGACAAGAAATTCTACCTATTATAATTAATATAAAAAGTGCCAGTGATTCAGTAGAAGATGTGACATAGACAGTGATTAGTAAGTAAAGCATCTTATGGCTGTTTGAGCAATAAAATTAACATTAATTTTTTATAGGTTTAAACTGATGATCAAACTAAATGTTTTCTAAAAAATCCATTAGATACATAAAAATAGTATAATAAAGATTAAAATCTAGAAACAAAAGCATGTAAAAGTTTTTACTATTACCTTTCAAGCACCACACTTTTTTTACGTTCTTTACAAATTATATAAAACCATCATACGCACAATTGTAAAGTATCTATCAGAACTTAAATAAACCTCAAGAAAAAGATTTAACATTTGAAAATCTAGTTGTAAGTAGCAAAACGTTTAAAAATAAATAAGTAGGTACTTAACGAAAAAAATGTTCTTTTTAATTCTATTTTATTTTTTTAAACTACACAAGCAGCTCAAATTATTTTTGAAGTAAGACTATTACTTAAGTAATTCTTGTTTTCTATTTCATTTTTTTTTATTTATTTACATTGAATAATAATTTGTTTTGTTGTATAATTCAGTTTTGCAATAATTATGTGATATATTTTCTTTAAAGTGAATTCAGGAATTTTTTGAAATTTGGCAACAATATCAACTTAGATCTCTGACGTAGATAATGACGTGCATCGATATTTATACGGTAGCAACTGTAAGTATCTGTTTGGAATTGTTTTAAAATTTTAATAAAATTAAAACTGATGCGTGCGTGAAATAGAAACTCGTACTAAATTTTGCGTGGAACGATCCACATGTGTTTGTGCTACTTTCTAGTTCATCTGGACACCACAAAATAGATGCAAAAACTGAATTTTCGGAAACATAGTTAGTCACTAAATAATCGGAAACGCAGTAAAGGTTCTTTTTGAGGTTATATTTTTGAAAAATTGAAAACAAAACAACCGTCTACTTCCGATGGTTTTACAAATTGTAAACCAAATATATCGCCCAACCATTTTCCAACTTTACTGTTTTTGTTCTAATAACCAGGTTCAAAGCTCAAACTATGAATATGGGGGATGGCTATTTCAAAATCAGCTACAATAGCTTTTGGAATCAGATCCAAATGTAAACTGTAACATTTGTTTCGGAAAATGTGGGAAAGAGTGATGTAAGAACACTTCGTATTATTAGGCAGTAAACAAAATGCTAGTGAGTTGTAAAACCAATTTTCGAGTATATGCAACTTAAGTAAATAATTGTAAAAAATGGTAGTGAAAGTACCTTTTATTTCACAGATTTATATTAGTACTGGTTTTCCATGTTCACTCAAACTTTTCAAAATTTTCCCTGATATATTTTTTCACAAGTACATACAATGTCTTAAAATACTCCAAGAAATTATAATATTTTGCTCAGGGAAAGAGTGGTTGTGGGTTTATAGTACCATAATTAACAGAACTATAAATTAAAAATTAAGGATTATTTATTATTACTTGCTCTTAGAGAAATTCAGGACCACCGGCGCCGAAATAAATCATAAAAATTTATGGATATTGAAATTCGGTCCTCTCAGATGCAGATCATACGACAACTCAACAAAAAAAAATTAAATCAAGACAAACTACAATTCCCCATTATTAGTAACAAACGTTTAATAAAACAACAAAAAATGCCATATCTAAAAAATAAAAAAAAATCAGTTAATGATCTCCAGCTCTACAATATGTACAGGTAAGGGATTATATGCTATCAAAAATTAAATTAAAATTATAATCCCTTATGGTACCATAATGGACAGAAACAGTTATGGTAATTTAGCCAAGATTAAAAAGGTGGGGGTGGATGATATGATTTTAAGAAGTAGGCATATTCAGACTTGATTTTTTATAAAATGTTTGATTTCTCTTCTTTTGCATTAACTTCCAAGATAAATGTGGTCATCTTTCTAGTGATTTGAAGAAATAATGCTAAATGTTAATTCTGATGGGTAATTATAATTGTTCTTAAAAAATATTAATATAAGAATATTATACTCCATGAGACAAGTAAATGTCTCACAGAGAATGGTTTATTTTTTTAAGAAAATTACACAAAAAATAGTTGGGAGAATAAATAATATTAACGATTTGTTACAGATAAGATGAAATTTATGCCATTAATGCATAGACTCTCCCTATAAACTACTCAATGTCATAAATATAGTGCATTTTTTTGAAAATCAAAAAACCAGGCCTCGACAGGGCTACATGAATAATTATTGTAGTGGATGAAACAATGGAAAGTAACAAATAGATTCAGTGTAAGAGGTCGTTCAAGTATTACGTAACGCAATTAGTGTGGGATGGGGTCTTGTAAAACGTTACAGGGACGACGGGGGGGGGGGGGGGTTAAGAAAGTGTTACATAGCACTGTTACTATGTAAACTATGTAAAAATCACCCAAATTGTCAATTATTTTCATTTATATTTAAAGGGATCCCTCAATTGTACTATACAATATTGTTATTATGTTCCTTTTGTTTGTATTTTATGGGGAATACTTCTACTGTATTGTACATCCTTTTATGTTGTTTTTGTTGTCAGTAATACACAGTAACACATTGCTATAGTCATCATCATCATCATTATCTTTAGCTCAACAATCCTCTGTAGACCCTGGCCTGCTCTAAAATTAAATGCCATTCTGTTCAGTTTCTAGCAATGTGTTGCCATCTTCTGATTTTTAGTATCACAAAGTCAGTCTTAACTCCATCTTATTACCTAATTTGCGGTCGGCCACTGCTTCTTTTTCCTATAGATGTTTCTTTCGTAAACTTTTTAGTAATTGTATTATCTAGCATTCGTATTATGTGCCCAGCCCATCTAAACTGCTGTGTTTTAACTAATGTTAAGACATCTGGTTCATTAAAGAGTTGGTATAATTCGAAATTATACCTTTTGTACCACTGCCCTTGACCATTTATAGCTTCAAATATTTTGAGGAGTATTTTAGGCTAGAATATTCCAAGTCTTTTATCCTTCTGCGTTAGGGTACGTTCATAAAGGAGAACATCGCATCATATCCTCTCCTAGACCATAGTATTGATAATGAACGCTCGCATTTAAAATAATACAATTATTTTACCTGGCGATTGATAATACGATATGGTCCTATAGTCGGAGCGAGGGTCGGCACCTCGTTGTGAGCGCCCACTTATAGTTCATGTTTATGCCTCTTATACAATAGCCAACCGGCCTCAGTAGTGTTTTACATGTAATAATTTTAGTTCTTCTTTGGATATTTCTTCAGTAGAATTGTTTTTGGAGTCCATAGTATAACCAGGTTGCTGTAGTCAGTGTTGATAAATTGAATTCATAATATAAAGTGATCAAAAGTTGAAAAAACAAAGATGAAAATTGATAGAACATAAACAGCTTGAAGATAGTTTTCAGGATCCAGCAGAACCTAATCTGTTGTGGTGTAGCATTGACTTTCTGTAAATTGTAATATTTCTTACAAGTGATTAAGTGCACAGTTAAATGCTGTTGTTGCCACTCGCGGAGTGCATTGAAATCTATCTTCTCAGATTTCCTACTGCTAGCCTGCCCAATCCTTTAAATCTCAAGTGAGCTTGTAGTACCTAGTCAGTCACTGAATGGATTTAAGCATGTGCCCTATGATTTCTTGTGTCTATCACTACAAGCGACCTCAAGAATAGAATATACGCAACCAGTAGGTACCTGGGTTCAACTAACAATTCAGAAATTGTTCTCAAAATACAAGTTAAACAAATTATTTACGTATTTTCAACTAAAATTGTACTTATTTTCCATTAAATAGTAAGGAGTGCAATGCAACAAAAAAATAGCCCCTACACAACATAAATGATTGAATCTAACTTGGATGAGCTATATAAATATATAAATACACTTACAAATCTTTTTAAATTAGAATTATTACTAATACTTTCCCAGTCACAATAAAAACAATGAAAATTATTTTAAATAAATACTTAGGTAAGTAAGCTACTAACTTCTTCAAATCCCATTAGCTTCAAACATTCTTTTCCTCCCTTGATTGACAAAATCTTATTAGAAATCGTTACATTTGACTTTTGTAGTGTTCGAACTTTTAAATCAGATGGGTTTTTTATAATGTTTTCAGCAATTTTGGTAAGAATTCTGATTGCTTCTTGATATACTGCTGGCGAATTTTGTTCAAGTTGTTTAAAGGTATCTTCAAAGCCCATGATTTATGAAACTAAAAGATCTCAAAGGTAATATTTTTATAATACACTTATGACTTAACTAAAAAACACGTAGATAAAACAAATATACAAGTCATCCTATTTGAACTTTTCACTTTGACGTTGTTTACAAATCTCAAATCTTACTGTTATGACATTTAATGTAATTTTAGGTTAGGAAATCGCTAAGATACCGAAAACCGTGAATTTTGTTTGAATTGTATTTATTATAGTTTTTTAATTTTATGGTTTCTAAAAAATTTTAGTATGTTAAATACGAAAATATTAGAATAAACTAGTTAAAAATATTCATTCAGCAACACTTAATAAAGAAAATTATAGTTCTTCAGAATGCATTACCTGTAAAGTCTCGTTTCCTCTTTTCATTAACATTTTAATGGATCCTGACCTGAAGTGACATGTAAATATCTTATCTGAATCTGACAGACATTTTAATTACACACTGCTGCAGTGACTGTAGAAGTAGGGTTATTTTATGTTTAAGTTAGAAGAAAATGAAATTTTTCAGTAATAAAAGTTAATATTGAATATTACATATTATATTTCACAATGATAAAAGCAATTCTAGTCTTTAATAACCATGGGAAACCTAGACTCTCTAAATTCTACCAATATTTTGTAAGTAAATGTTTATACTTAACTGTTTTGAGATATCTATCTATATTGTGTATTTTAGGCTGAAGATATGCAACAACAAATTATCAAAGAAACGTTCCAGTTGGTTTCTAAAAGAGACGATAACGTTTGCAACTTTTTGGAAGGTGGAAGGTATAACAACAACACTACCATTTGCTACCATACTGACCTTATTTTTTTCTTTATTCTAATCTAAAATTATTTTAAATGATTTATTCTTAAAATATGTATAGACCTTATGTTATGGCAGGTTATGTCTCCTGAGAAATTGTTCTTTTATGCTCTAATAATTTAAAATTTTACACTCATTCTTACACATACTTCATTTACTTTATCAATTTTTTGTTGGTTCATATTTGTTGTTACTGCCTTATAAACATTTACTTTATATCTTTATTATTTTTTAGTTTAATTGGAGGAAGTGACTACAAACTAATCTACAGACATTATGCTACTCTATATTTTGTATTTTGTGTAGACTCCTCAGAAAGTGAACTTGGTATTTTGGATCTGATACAAGTATTTGTTGAAACCTTGGATAAGTGCTTTGAAAATGTATGTGAACTAGACTTAATATTCCATGTTGATAAAGTTCACTATATACTAAATGAACTTGTAATGGGTGGTATGGTTTTAGAAACAAATATGACAGAAATACTTACCAGGATAGAAGACCAAAACAAAATGGAGAAAGCAGAGGTTTGCTATTTATATTTTAATTGATAGGGTGCTAGTTTTAATAATACTGCAATAGTCGACCCTGAGTAGCAAAAAGAGATTTTTTTTAAGTGGGAGCAGGATAGTCCCAATATTTTTAATTCTACAATACCAGAGAATCAAATATCAAAAGATTTTCAAATGGAAATCTTGTAAAAAACATATAAAAATGATTAAGGGCCGGTTTCACCAACGACAAATAGAGTCTATTCAATGAATAAAGTTATTCGACCAATAAAACTGACATAGCTGCGTTTCACCAACGTCAAATAAGACTTATTCTATGAATAAACTCCAAATAAGTTATTAGTCGAATATCGGCCAAATAAATATTTATTCTTCGAATAAGTTGACAGCTAACCTCACTTTAAATATCAATAATAAAGAAATTTCATTAGTTTAACTTGAAATTCCCTATAATGTATTGCAGGTAAACGTAATTATATCAGACAATTTAATTTTGTATACATATATATTGATTTTCGAATATTATCTTCATCATCATCATCCTCTGATGACGGAAATGAACAGCGAAGGAGATGTCCATGCTGACAGCTGCAAAGAAGAAACCCTTTTGCTGAATTTGATGATGTGGACTTTAAAGCTAGGTTTAGATTATCAAAAAATTCAGTAGATCATTTATTAAATTTGAACGGTAACCAATTGCATCCTGTAAGCAACAAAAATAGACCCATAGATGTGTGACATCAATTGTTAATTGCTCTTTGTTTTTATGCAATAGGATCGTTTCAAGTATGTATTGACCATTGGCATTGACAATTATTATTATTTTGACAAATTAAATCGACCAATATCAAATATTATGGGTTATGTATATAATTACAGTGAAAATAGTGCAATGTGCCTGGCCAAACACCTAAGAGGTGGAGGCCAAAAGAGGTGTCAACGAGTACAGTCAGTGGAAAATCATTACACTTTGAACTTATTCGACAAATAACTAACTGTGGATTACAAATAGTTATTGAAACGAAATAAAATTTATTCTACTAATTAGAGACGATTAACTATTCAGTGATTTATTTGTTGTTGGTGAAACCGGCCCTAAAACTCATATATAACTTTAAGAAGACACCAGTCATATTTTTCAATGTAAAAAAATGTTAAAATAAGCCAATGTCACTAATGGACTTAATTGTAAGGGATAGAGGGAACAGTGGGGAAACACAAAAAACATTATCAATGTTCTTGGCTTGGCCCTAAAACCTATGGTGTCTTTTTGGTCTCTTCCATAATTTGCCTCCAGTACAAGTTCAGCCAAAGTAGTGTACAACTTAATTATAGTTTTTCTGGCCAACAGTGTAGAATTTAGTAGCTCTACATTATCAAACTATACTTTAGTGTTCACCATAATGACCACAAGTCATTTGTTTTCTTCCCTGGTCTGGCCCAAAAGATGTCTATCACTGAAGCTGAATTTGATTGTGTTTGCTGCCCATGATTGTTTCCTACACCTTGATTAGAATTTTTGTACCCTGTATAAGTTTCTACAGGTCTTTTGTACCAGGGTCTCCTCATGGTTCAACATATTGTTTTTGTCTTTAGCTGAATTTCTTGTCTCTGCAGTTTTAGACCTAACCACTACAATTTCTTTCTACATAGTAGGCGACTATGTGGATTTGTGGGGACATATATTTAGTGCCTCCCTATAAGTCTATTGTCCCACAAGTTCACCAAGGCATATTTGATGCTCATCAGTGGAAGGTAAAATATCTAAATGTAACATTTTGAGAGTTTTTTTGTAGTTTGATTAGAGTACATTTTTAAGTATTTGATTTTCTTGTAATTTATTTTTAGACCAACAAATTCTTACTTTTCTTTAGTTTCAAACAGCATTTCTTTTAGTAATACAATATTTCTAACAACTAGGCCAATGTAATAGCTTAAAAATATATTGGTAATATTTAATAAATAATTTTCGCAGCTTATGTATCTAAATAATTTACAATTATAAACAACAAAATACATGTTGTTTACTTGCCTAGGGTATATGATAATTTACCACCCACAATTGATTTATAATAAATCTTTGCAAGCCAACATTTTTCCCACAATATTTAAACATATGCTTCCTTGTATCAATTTTTATGTCAGATATGAGGCCAGTAAGTTAATTTATAGAGATATATGCATGTAGTGCACAATGTCTAAATTGTATGATATTTGTGTTTAGTTAACTAAGTTGGTCTTGCGGTGGAATCATTTCTGAGAGCCAGTTTGGGTTTTACAAGAACAAATTAATAACTAAAAATGTAGCAATTTAACAAGTTGCTGTGTTGGAGGGTGGAAGAATGGTAATTAGGTGAATGTTATCTACACTGATTCACCAAAGGCTTTTGCTTTAGTGAATTTTAAGATTCTTATTACTCAACTTTCAGATTTGGGTTTAGTGAGAAATTAATTTCAGGACTTCACATACCATAGGTATTAGGCATGTGTTTCTGATGGTTTTATAGTTGATAAGGGTATCCATAGGCATCACTGCATGTTTTTGTAGTTTGAAGGTTGAATGTTATCAATATAGAGTAACAACAGGAGTGCTACAGTTATGCTGCTGTACTGTTTTTGCTGTTTTTCAATGTATTAAGTAAATCTGTATATTACTCAAAGTCTGTAATGTTCAGAGATGATTTGAAATTATATTAAGTAATTTCATATTAGATTATTGGAATTGACCTTCAAAGATCTTTAAATGGCTTGTGAAAATTTACACAAGTCAATAACCTGTTTATAAAACTAAGTATAAACAAACATTTTTTATTAGGGTTTTGTTCTAGTCACAGGGTGACAACTGCTTACATTGCCATTGGCATACATCTAGGGTACAGAAAAAGGTCTGGATGTTTTGTCTGATGTATGGTTTTGCTTTTTCAGAGAGTATTGTTATGAGTATGTTTGTGGGGAATTAGTTTGCTTGGATTTGTTGAAAGGAATTTTATTAATTTCTCAATAAATATAGTTGTTTGTTCTTTGTTTGGGTTTATATAACTACAGACACTGAATCCATTTGCCAAATAAATACAGTTAAACTCCATGCTTTTCATTTGCTATGTATCTTCTTGAGTACTAATAAGTTATTTGATATCTCTTATGTTTAACCAGAGTGAACTATTTTATAATAGAGTAAATGATGTCATAAAATATACCAATCATGTCAGAAAAATTTCTACATTGGAGAAGTTTTTCCCATTATATATTTAACCAGATTTATTTATATTCTTACCAGAAATTGTATGCTTAGCAACACTTTGCTTTACAGTAGTTAACAGAGGGGGATGATGAGAATCCAGAGAAATTACATCATAAGCCTTTGAAATAAACTTTTCCAAGCCAGAATAATAACATCATTACTTTTGACCCCATAATTACATAGAAAAAGATTTTGGTACACACATAAATTCACTAAACCTAAAGTGCTGTATGTTTTACAGTTGCAGAAGAGCAATAATCTTTAACTTGCAATCTAGCATTGTTATTAACACAATTGTTTACTTGAGTATTAGCTGATTAATAGATGAATCAGAGTGAATATGTGAAAATTTCCTCAAAACAGCTATCGATATGCCGCCCCCTTTAAATTCTTCTTCTTAGAGTTCCGTCTCCCTACGGAGGTTGGCAATCATAATGGCTATTTTTATTTCAGAACTTGCTGCTCTAAACAAATCAATCGATCTGCGTTGGTACCAATCACATAGATTCTTTAACCATGAGTTCTGCCTTCGGCCAACAGATCTTCTTCCTTGAATCTTTCCCTGTATTATCAGTCTCAAAATTTCATATTTTGGTCCCCTCATCACGTGGCCTAGGTATTCCAGTTTTCTGGTTTGTATAGTGGTAATTAGTTCTGTTTCTTTACCAACCCTCTCCAGTACTTCTTTATTTGTAATTCTATCAGTCCATGATATTTTCAATAATCTGCGGTATAACCAGAGTTCAAAGGCCTCGATTCTTTTTAAATTACATTTTTTTAATGTCCAAGTCTCAGCTCCATATAATAATATTGAAAATATATAACAGCGAATGGTACGTAGTCTGATCTCCAAATTTAGATTTTTGCACGTTAGGAGTGGCTTCATTCGTATAAATGCTGATCTGGCAATCTCTATTCGCCTGTTTATTTCTACAGTATGATCATTGGTTTCATTGATCAAAGTTCCCAAATACTGATATTTTTCTACTTGTTCTATCACGTTACCATTTATTGTCAATAGGTGATGTATATTTTGTGGACTTTTTGTAATCAGCATGTACTTCGTTTTTTTAGCGTTTATAGTAATTCCCATCTCAGCACTATTTATACTCAAGCTTTCGATAAGATGTTGTAGATCCTCTATACTCGTTGCTATGATCACAGTGTCATCTGCATATCTTAAATTATTAATTAATTTTCCGTTAACGGCGACTCCCGCTTCGATATTATTGAGCGTGTTTTGGAAAATTTCTTCAGAATATAAGTTAAACAAAAGCGGTGATAACACACATCCCTGTCTAACTCCTCTACAGATCATCATTTCTTCTGAGTGTTGCCCATCAATTTGAACTATGGCACTTTGGTTCCAATATAATGTTTGCACTATAGTTATGATTTTACTGTCAATGCGCTTGTTCATAAGTATTGATATTAGTGATGCATTATAATCAGGTATATAATTATGGGTATGTGTAGTATTCAAGGTGTAAAATTACAGATGTAATTAAAGATGTATTTGTAATATTATGGTCTAAAAAGTTTTTTTACTAAAAGAAAACTTTCTGTATGAGGAATATTAGGAAAACATTTTTTAGTTTATATGACGGAGCTGTATAAAAAGAAACTACAGGTCTTATTGAGTGATCTGGTTTCTGTAGTTTTAATAAAAGAGTATGATTTAGGAGTCCGTAGATTCATGATATTGAAGTATTTCTGTTCTGTTGAACTTACTATTGATCTTGAATTTTCTTAATTTGTTGTTGATACTTTCCTGTCGGATCTTTGTTTACTGTTTCAATATTTTGATTATTTAGAAATTCTATTGTTTTGTTATTATATTGGATTTTATCTGTAGCCATAGTAGTGTTACCTTTGCCTGATTTTGTAAACACTATGTTGTTTTCTATTAAGTTATTTTTAATTGAAATGGCTGTTTGTTTCTCCTTACAACAGGACTTTTTAGTTTCACTTAAACATATTTGTTATATATTTTGCAGTGATAGTTTTTTCGATATTGATGGCAGTTTTGTTTAATGCTACTTTACATTCTACACCTGAATATTCTAAAGTTTTTTAATTATTATGTTGAGACAAGTTGTGTTTAAATCCTTTCTCTAAAAATTTTATCTCGCTATTACTAAATTTAGTATCTGTTAAACAGTTCTCCCCTCTTCAACCTATTTCGTTCAAGACTTCTTCTTAACGTGCCCTATCAAGTCCCCTTGACGTTGGCGATTAACATGGCAAAACTGTCTCTGTCTCGAGCTATTCTCTAAAGAGTTGCTCAGCTTTCTTTATTCCTGTCCACTCTCTGATATTCTTCAACCAAGAGCCCTGCTTTCTACCAATTACTCTGCGTCCTTCGATTTTACCCATCATAATAAGTTGAAGAATATTATATCGATCTCCCCTTACTACGTGTTCAAAATGGGCCATCTTTCTACATTTGATGTTCTCAAGCAGCTCGCGAGCAGCATTTGCTCTCTCAAGGACTGCCACATTTGTCAGCATAGCATGTTCAAGACTATAAATTGTAAACACATACCAAAAATAGATCACTTGAGAAAGGCACTCCGGCGAAATAGCTGTAGTGATAAAATTTTATAACAAATTTTGTGGCAGTTTTGAAAACAAAGTTTTCAGTGTTTTATTTTTATATAAATTGAATTCCCATCAAATAACGGTCGGATCCGTCACTTATAATATATTAAGATTAATTTTTAAAATTCATTGTAACAGTGTGAACGATACTGTACTAAATGCTAAACTACGAAATCATGAGCAATTTTTCTCTCTCTCTCTCTATCTCATGGCCGTTGATCTACTGGTCCGAAGAACACGACATTTTCATGTATTACTTTTACACAGAATTAATCATACTTTTAGATGTTTTCTATATGTATATAAATATAATAGATTTCATAAAAATTGACCTTAAAGAATACAAAACGATCATTACTCTGAAATGTATGTTACAAAAACACTTGGATAAGCCCAAAGCAAATCTTTATTTGACTACATATCAAACACAACTCTTAATTGTTTTACCTATAACCTAACTGAAATATAATGCGATAATTAGCAATATATGAGCGTCGTTAGTGAGGTTTGTAATTACATGGCCAATACATTACAACTCTATTATAATTTTGAATGTGAATGAGAATGAATAAAATAAAAATTGCTAGAATATCTATTATCACAAACTGGCAATGATGTCATCGTTTTATCGCATTCACGTTTTTGAGAATCTACCACCTACAAATTTAATTCTCAACTATAGTAATTGAGTTTTTAAAGTTTATAATTATCATGAGTTAAAGTTGTATAAAGTATTGTAAACAAGTTGGTGTTTGAATAAGAAGTATTTTAAAGAAGTATAGCAATCTGTTTATCTAGTTGTTTATTATATTTAATGTTAGATATTGAAATTATATAATTACTTAGTGACTCTTAAATGTTTTATAATAATAACGATAAATAAATAGAAAGGGAGAAGTTATAGGGATAGAGAAATAATGTTTAAACATATGAACGATGAGTGAGCAGGAGAGGAAGACGAATGAGAAAGGGAAAGATAGTTTGTGTAATCTATGCGTTCCTTTATTTCTTGCTTTATAAAACTTATGTATATGTTTCCTTTTCAGGCTGGCATTGCTGCAGCACCTGCAAGAGCTGTATCAGCTGTTAAAAACATGAACATTCCACAACAAATCAAAGACATCAAGTTACCCGACTTGCCGCAGGCTATTAAAGATTTGAAATTCTGACCTCAAGTAGGAAAATCATTACAAGACGTCCATATATCACCATTTCACATCCCCTCTGACGCCAGGTCACTTTTAGAAGAACCTTCCTCTGTTAAATATACTTGATATATGTTTATGTACAGGGTGTTGTTCTGTAAATAGTGATACTTGCATTTTTCTCGGATAATATAAAGTAAGAATGTAAATGAAATTTGTGCTATGTACAAAAATAATATGCAGTTAAACTGTTTGACAGACAAAACATTTTAAAATATTTGTTATGCATCGAAGGACAAAAAATTAGTAGAATATTTTTGCCAAAGTAGCATTTTTTTGCAACATATCATTTCGACAACAATTTGTTGTGTCGTAATATAATAATTTATATTGTTAAAAGAACGCATATGGTGAACTGGCTTCACCATTAGTTTTGTACATATCCAACATTTGTTATTTCAATATTTTTTACTGGTGTTTACAATGCAAATTTACAATCGATCTCACACTAATGTTAAAGTAATAAGTAAATAACTAGTATTTTAATAGGTTTGTACCAGGTACTATTTATTAATGGTTTTCCTTGCAGTCACTCGTCATCAATACTCTTCAAGGTCTTCTGGCCAGATTCGCTTCAGTCTTCTCCATTGATCAAATATATTCTTAATAGGTGTTCAGGTTCAGATGTAAGGTCTGTATTTATTCGGCCTAGGAATTATTAATATCTTTTATTTTGTTAGGTGCTAAGATGCTCCAGGTATGATAAGAAATGTCTCATTGGAATGACTGCAGTTATTTCAATATATATTATCAATACATTCTGGCAAATTTTACTTGGTTCCTCAGACGTGTACCTGTAGAAAAGTGATCTATAGATCTATAGAAATTGTTCATTTTAAACTATGTCACTTACGGTGTTGTGAATGTCTCTTGTCCTCAACATAAGACGAGAACCAAAACTACTAAGTGGCTTATTATAAAGATTCTGATTAATAAATCTTATAAAGCAGGTACCAAATCGATGTTGAAGTTAGTGTAGCTTTTGAGTTTAAACTTTATTTATTAATTTTTTTCCGTCTTTTAAATGGGGAGTCTGGAATCTTTAAAAGACATCTCAGTCCAGGACGCCATCTGACTGACCATAGCGAAGGAGTCTACGCCGAACGCCTACCTGCTAAACCAGACCCTCCTCTGTCATCCAACGATCCGGAAGCGGAATGGCCGCTGTAAGAACAGCATCACTTCCGAAGCACTACGTTCATTCATTCATCCACATCTACACTCCATTCATCAGCAAGGAGGCTCCCTGTCTCGTTCCAGGTAGCGCGCCTAGTGTGGCATCATTCCCAGACGGGCATTTCCTTCTTCCCCACAGTCTGATCCACTTTTCTAGCTTTAAATTCCAGCATCTTTCCGTTGGTTCATTTGTCTTTCTTCCTCTTCTTTTTTCTTGATCACTGCACGGCTATAGTTGTGTAGGTTAGTCCAACCCGATTTATTTTCAATTACTCTCTCAATCATTTCTCTCACTGTAACAAAATTCACACCTATCTCTCTCCCTCTCTCTCTCTCTCTCTCTCTCTCTCTCTCTCTCTCTCTCTCCAATATGTTTCTTTCTGCCATACATCTGCTGCAATCTAACATCGTATGTGTCACAGTGTCCGAGTGTCCATAGTATAGGCATTTATCTGTGTCAGCCTTGCCGAACCTAGAGTGGTAGGCCGTAAAACACCCGTGTCCTGTGAGCACCTGCGTCAGGAAATAATCCAGTTGCCTGTGTCCACATTCCACTCAATCGTTTATGTTCGGGATTAGCATTTTCGTCCACTGTGCCACATCCTCCGTGTTGTTCCATTCTTCTATGTCTCTCATAGAGCTCTTTTCTTTCCACCGTAAAAACATGCAACGGAACACATCCAGTGATGGTACACAACTCTGCCGCAGACACAGTCCTGTAGGTGCATGCCACTCGCAACAGACTTGTTCGGTCCACTTAAGTCATAAGCCTCCTATAGACCGTTATGTCTACCGCCTCGCTCCAGTCTGGTGCCGGGTAGAGGACGATTGACGATTGACTGTACAACACCGTGTACGACCCCCTCCTTTCGGATTTGGGTCCCCAATGTTGGGCATCACCCTCCCCAACGCAGCCAATTATTTTATTAATTACACAGTTACAAACACTTTAACAAACTACTAAGCTTAAAAACTTGTCGTCTTGGCTATGTCTTATGATAATGCCTGGTTAAAGCTAAATAATTTTAAGTAGCGCTTGATGACCTTCGCGTAGGACGTGAGGCTGTATTTTCAGACTTCTGATTGAAAGTGATTTAGTTTGAGAGTGCGAAATAATTGCTTATAATGTACGTGGAGCGCGAACTGGGGGAATAGCAAGTGTGTGTGTACATAGATATACGTAATATGACCGTCCCAACTTGGAACGTTAGAATGTTTTGTTACGGCTAAGAAGCTGTAATTTATAGGTAATTGTAGTAACGTCTTATTAACGGGTTTAACGAAAGTTTTCAATTTCCTAATAACTTTTTAACGAGAAATATATATGCAGGTGCCAAATCAGATTACCTGCAGGTATACATTGAAAACAATTTAAGAGATTGATGAGACATTTAACGAACTTTTGCCCTTTTTTGTGGTAAACATACATTTAAAAATAAATAGATTGCAAATAATCATGGTACTGTACAGTGTATTATTAATCAAGATATATATTAGGGCTGTATTAACAAAAAATATATTACCAGGCTGTAACAGTGGTATTACTTACATGGGGTATATAATAGTGGTATTACCAAAAGTTTTTAAAATATAAAATTGAAGTATAAACAGTTTATTGACTTACTTTGTAAGAGATATCCAAACAAAATTAATAGGGTGTCATCCTAGTTATCCGATTTTACGAATTTCGTAAGATTTATGTCTTGAGTTATACATTTTTATACTATTGTATGACACAAGTACTACAGCCCTAAACTGGAACTCCGACCTTCACCATTCAGTTGTCTTCTTGCTGCGCTAGATATCTTGCCCATCTCAATTTTTCTACTTTTATTCTAGAAGTAGTCGGAATTTCTAATAGTGCCCTACAGCTGGATTCTATAAGGTTAAATCGGTTTTATGAAAATATTATATGCTTTATTTTAGTAAAACGTTCTTCTGCCGAGATGGATGCATATAAGGAGTGTCTGGTTATTAATGGTAACGATTATTATGCTTTTTTGGGACCACGTGGCAAATTCTGTGTTGTTCCTTGATGGAAGATCTGTTGTGTCGATTATAAGTACATCTGTCAGTTATAGAGGAGCTTCTATAAATTTGTAAATTTGCTGTATCTAGTAACAGTTATTGTGGCTGATTCATTTGGTTTAAAAATTTTTGTTAGATTATAGGCAAAACTGCTGTCTATTGTATCTAGCCCATATCCCTTGCACATCACTTATTGCAATGGTGTTGTGATTGTTACAATTTTTATCTCGTTTCTTCAGGGGCAGTAACAGAACTCACATAATATGGATGTCTTAATTTTTCGTTCCAATTAATTGCTTAAGTAGTTTTCGTTTGCTCTATTTAAATTTGTTTTGTGGCTTGCGTTCTCGATATCCGTCATTTTTGAATAACTATCTTTTTTCTGCTATGTTTAGAAGTATAGCTTTCTTATTGCCGACTACGTACGGATAGATTTACCGCGGTGGATCGAACAGAGGTATGAACAAAATAAAACCGTCTCTAAAGACTGTAACGAAATATCGCGCGACCAAACACTACGTCGTCTAGTAAACGCAGTCCGTGTTTAATAATAAAGTAAAATAAACTATAAAATAAATATATTCGAATCGATTGAAATCGAACCAAATCAACTAGAATCGAGTTGATTGGAATTTAATGGAATCGAGTGGTATCGAATCGAATTGATTTTGATCGAAGCGATTGGAATTAATTCGAATCGATTCAATCGGGATCAGATCGGATCGATTGAAATCAAATCGATTGGGATCGAATCTAATCGATTGGTATCGAATCGAAACAAATCAAATCGATTGGAATTGAATCGGAATCGAATCAAATAAATGAAATTAAAACTGATCGCTTTGTGTGTAAGTGATAACAAAGCTATGCTTCATCTTCTCGGTCACTCCCACATCCCGTTTTTTTTAATATAGAAGAAAGGTGACTTCCTTGTTTTGTGTAGTCAATTGCCGGAGTAGATGTCTATACTACTTTTTGTAAAGGTGTGGTGAATTGTGTGTTAACTGTTCTATTTATCTATCGTAGTGTTTTTAGTGGAATCTGCACAGTGATTTGTGTATCTGTTGACGTACATATCCCTTTCAGGCCGCCCCTACACGATCGTGACGTTTCATTTCAAAAATTCCCGCGCATTAGAAACTGATCGTTTCAGGGTCATAGCAGCTCCAAATGATAGTACATGAATCATACTAAGTGTATACTAACGCGTCTTCACGTTAATAGACAGTTAAATGTTGTTTATCGGCGAGCAAAAATGTCGGTGTACTTTGATGATGGCAGTGGTCGCAGTAAGTACCATTTTTCACTCATTTTCATTGTAGAAAGATTTAATAATTGAGTTGATAATGTTTGTAAAGGAATAGATAATGTATGGAAATAGTAATTACATACAAATATCTATTTTCACGAGCAAATTTGCTTGATCAAAAGTAAATAAGCACGATCGTGCGTGTCCGTCTCGTATTCACTTTTTAAAAGTTATTTGTTACATGTATTTAAAATGAGGTTTTTAATTTTTTTTTATTTAATTTAATTTTTTATTGTTGCAGAAGTCGAGTTAACAGATGAATTAGTTCTGCAGCTTATTGGTGATGGAGATAATTCAGAAGTAGAAAGTATAGGTGACATTGAAGAAGTAATAGAAAGTAATAAACCGTTGCAAAATATTATTCACACCGAAGAACCTTCTTGTTCTTCTGGTAATCCAAATACTATTGTATTAGGAGACAATAGTAGTCAAAAACCTACTAAATTAAAAC